CCTCACAAATACCTCTCCAGTTGAGCTTGCGCTTTGCTAGCATCGCATCACCATAGCCCTTTGCAGAGAGGGCCATACAGCTTAGAGGTGGCTGGATACCTCTTAATTCATGATACAGATGCCAATTCTCGATTTTGAGACTACCTAAATCACTGCGAGCCTCAAAAAAACACGAGTTGTTCAGTTTAACGCCAATCCTTGTTTTGCCCAGAATAAAACGTAAAGTAGCAAATCACGTGCACGATTATGTAAGAACCTCTGCCCCTCAAATCTGAATGGTTTGGGCAGAAATAGGTTAACAATTTCCTGATTTACTTGAATCTTGGACACCACTTTGGTAAAAAGAAACCTGGCAGGATCGTCAACACTATCTTATCCCTATGAAGGACAATGAATGAAGGGTTGCAATATACAGTAGCGCATGGATTTATCCAACTATCCTGGTCAAGATACCAGCCACCAGAAACACAATTTTCATATTCAAAAGCTTAAAAATTAACACGTGGCCAGGGGCTCAAAGTCTGATTTGCAATACACTCTAAAGACTAAAGGAGGGTCTCAATGGGACCACCTCCAACCTCACTGCAGGACCTCACCTGACATATTGCTTGATGACCAGACTAGATGAGCCAACCAATTTTCCTTTAAACGCATCAAAATTGTGGCCACTCTTACGGAGCAAGGATAGGGCCAGTCCCTTTCTGAAACTCCTCCACTCGATAGTTCAAAACTGCTGACATGGCAGATTATTTCAGTGAACACCAGATCGCAAATATACGCCAATGATTTGTAGATTGGGCGAGTACAGCTTCCCTGTGACTTCAAACGTCAAGCACCATCGATGTCAAGCTGATCCTATAAAATATGACCATCTTCACCTCAAGGCAGTCAGTCTGAACCTGACTGAATCCTGACACAGCAAGCCCCACTCCCCGGACCTCACGAGCTTTGTGACATAGCCAATCGGCAACTATGTTATCTCCACCTGCCAAGTGGTGGACCACCACCAGTCCTTTCACCACCTCCTTCACTCATATAAGGAGAAAGATGCATAAGGAGATCATGATGAGGTGAGCTCTGGCAATTCACTGCCACCGCTTAAGAGGTTGCATATGACCAAGACTTGTTTCTCTGTTACCAAAGCAATGAAATGCTGCAGGGCTCAGCTGATTGCTCACAACTCTAGCGGGTTAATACTTGAGAGCGAGTCCTGAGCCAAATTGGCCTGTGCCATGTCCCTGCTAGCACCGCACTAAGGGATAAAAAAAAACTCCATTAGCAACAACAATTCGAACCCGTTGATGTGTAGCTCACGAAGGCCACTGTGATGGCCACAGAAGTGAAAGCACCGAGGGCTTCAACAGTGTGAAGCTTCGTGTGTGGTGAAGCGAGACCGCAGCAATGGTCACGCCTCCAGGACAATAGTTTTTAGTTTGAAAGTTCTGGTGTGTTGAGCAGGTTAATGATTTACAAAACATGCTGTCGGCTGCCAAAAGTAAAATCTAACAATATAACATTCCAAAACAAATGGTATTTGACATGTGTAAAAACTCATGAAATATTAGTACTGTACAATATCAATTATATGATAGCCAAATATATTGTGTAATATATACAATAGCAATGAAATCTACGTTTGTGAATACATATTTCGTATATACAGTATACATATAAAGATTAAGAGCTGGTACATACATTTTTAACAAAGTGAGGGTAAAAAATACATTTATATACAGCATTTGAGTTTTCAAATGTGCATGTTAATGGCATGGACATACAATGTACACTTTACTGTGTCACCACCACACTTCACTTGTGCCCTCTACTCAATGTCAAGCCTATTTTGAGAAAAAAGTAGCAACTAATGAGCATCTGCAGGGATCCCAACTCATTGCCTCTGTTTCCTTGAAAGTTGACACACATTTGTGTTTGACTTATTTTTTATTGACCTTGCGACCAATTTTTCTAAAACTATGTTTAGAAGCACCATGTTGCAACTAATAGACTACCATTACGACAACACATTAGTGACTTAAAATTACAATGAAAACTGTTTTCACTAGTTATTAGTGTCCTTATCCAAACCTCTTACGCAAGGCCTGAAAACTATCCCAAGTCTCCATCTTGTTTTTATTAACAAAAATATAGAAAAGCAAAGCATGCAATTGAAATTGAAAATATAGTTAACACACAGTAGTAGAATAACTGATCAAAGCCAAATTGACATTTGAATAAACTTAAACAGTTTATATGAACAATTTGTCACCAACCAGCTCCAATATGCAATTATGTATACTGTATATTGTATACCATGTATTTTATACAGTAAGGATTACAATTTTCATGATTTGTCCTCACAGTAAGTGCTAATTAATGTTAAGTAAAAATGTTTTTGATACAATATTTACTACATAATTACAAGGATAAGAGCCTCAAACAGTAAATGTTGTATCTTAATTTGTGATATGACAACTTACAACCATTTTAAACAAGAAAAAAAACAAGTACGATTTTCTATTTTATCTAATTCCCACAACCTCTTCCACTACAGAAATTAACGTGCATACTTAAGACTGAGAAATGAACGAACAAACTTAAAACGACCTCATTTTGAGGTACTGTAAAGCACCTGCAGTGGAAGATGTCTTAATGGAAGCAAAAATATCAAAAGATTTATAGACCAGAAAGTAGCCCGACGAATGGTAGTTTATGTATATACACATCAACAGAGAACCAAATAAGTGATTATTTACAGAATGGACGTACTCGAGTAAAATAAACAAATATATGTATTTACTGGTTTCATAGACAATGTTTGCGAATCGCACAAATTCATGGTATTAACAATGGTATATGCTGGAGTTTTACTTGGTAACACTTTGAAAAATTTTCCTCCTTATGCACATCTTAAGATAGGTTACATTTCACTGAGGACCAGACTAACATGAGTGAAGAACTGAATAGAATTTGGCCTCCACAGTCAACAAGGGATTTTTTTTATGTTGCCAAAAGTGCGTGAAAAGACTGATGGCAGTGCCCTCTCTTGCAGTGGGGGTGTGAGAAAATAAACAAGTGCAAAGTTCTGATTTAAAGCTTTCGTGACTGCAGGGATTCATATTCTTGGTTCTTTCGGTAAAGTCACCACGTAGAAGGGAAACAATAAAATAATAAAAAATATAAAACAATAAAATTCTCACGACGTTTCGACTGCAACACAAGCAATCATCATCAGGTGTGAAAACCACGGCAAGGAAATTTGAAAAAAGTCACACCTGATGATGATTCTTGTGTTGCAGTCGAAACGTCGTGAGAATTGTATTGTTTTATATTTGTATTATTTTATTGTTTCCCTTCTACGTGGTGACTTTACCGAAAGAACCAAGAATAAAAGTGCAAAGTTCAGTATTTGCAAACAAGTGCCAGTAGCTTGTTACACAAACCCGTGTAGTATTTGAGAGCTTAATAATGAGCCATTGCTTACATAATGTATGTAATTTTTCATGCTAAATTAACCGAGCGTGCACAATTGCAGTTGTAAAACAGCTGTGTAAGAACGATTCCATTCATAGACTAGTGTTTCTTCTAGGTACCATGTTCTTTTGTCATCTGGAACCAGTGTAGTGCCATTGAAAGCCAGTTGGAAATGGTGCCATTACATGCTTCAACAATTGCATCATTTGGCAGGACCCCGGGGTCCCCCCGCAAAAATCAGGTCAATAATAATTATTATAATTATTTTTCAGTCTGCCCACTCGTGATCCCGACAGCAACGCGCCGCCCGCCCAGACTCGCACCAACAAGCGCCAGCAGGCGGCGATCAACACGATGGGCGCCACCCCACCGGCCAAACGCGAGCCCCGGAGGGCGTCCGCCGCAGTCGCGTGCGGCGACGACGCCCTCCGGTCAGCCGTCGACCCTCAGCTTCTTTGCCAAGGCGAGCCCGCCCCCGCAGTGAATTTAACGTGTTTATGTAATTTTTCAACTTTTTACGAAACTTAGTGCCCCGAGTAGCTCTCGACGAGGCCAATCGATTGACCGCTAGTTTTGTTGTCGGTAAGGCAAGACTCCTGTCGCTACGCGGTTTTTCCCACCCCGGGGCAGTGATGGGACCCCGGGGTCCCGCCAATTGCTTCAATTAATGCAGTGTCAGGATCATCTTGGACAAACTGACAATACAGCTGCATTACTGCAATCACCAATATTTAAATGCTTCTGTTTGAATTGAATTACTGTACTGTCAACCCAGTGGACGACCTGCAATTGTTATAACTCTAGGCCGCTTATGTTGTGCTTCTTGACACAACATTGGTATGCTTGACACATTTTAGAAACTGTAAATCAAAAGGGTGTACTGTGTGTACCCATTGTGTGGTAACTATAACATTTCAGAACAGTCCTTTACAGACATTCTCTACTGTATGTGATTTGACCCGACAAACAATGACTGCAGCCATTCTCTAACAATAACATTCGTTCTGATTACAATAACTATTACGTTGCTGTGACTATGCAAATATAATCAAGCACCAACGTTGATGATAATGCAGATACCATTTAGGAATACATTTAATGTGTGTACCATTGTTAAGATAAATAACTTCTGCTGTGTAAGACACAGAAAGCTGGAAACGACAAGCAGCTTGCTCATCGAAATATAAAGCTCACAGAAGTGTTAATTGGGAAAATAGTTAATCCTTCCTTAAGAGCATTCAAGCAGCATACACCAAAGTGTGCTTAAGGAAGATTTTGTGCATGACCTCATACCCGGATCACCTAGAGCATACACTAAAATGTGAACTTGCATTCAATAATGCTCGTGCGTGTTTGAATTTTTTTGTTGAGATATACACTTCATTATTGGTATTTTTTAAAAAAACGTGGTCTATATACATAACGTGCCATTTTTCTTGAACGTCCGATTCACTGTTTTTCACATTCCATTTTTTCTTTGTCCTTTGAACGTGCCTTCTGGGGATCTGGAGACGAAGAAAACCCCCCACCCCCACCATCACTTGAGCCCATAAAGAATATCTAACTTTTTTTTCTTCCAAACACTTAACCGTAGTATTCCGTCTGGCTGATCTCGGGGTAGGGTTGAGCGTCATCTGCAGGAGCCAGGCTTGCCGCGTTCGCCGTGCCGACGACACCAGCCGGGAGCAGCACACTGCCTTGTGTGCAGTAAATGGCCGCCATCTGGAGAAGACCAACGGTGGGGGGGGTGAGATGGTCAGAGAAAAGAACGTGAATTTTAATGAACGTGAATTTTAATGAGCGTGAATTTTAATGAGCGTGAATTTTAATGAACGTGAATTTTAATGAGCGCGAAGAGAAAAATAATTATCTGGAAAACTCGTGTAAACAAAAATGTTCCGCTTTAACATGTATCTGCCAAACAGGAAGACATTGCCTTTCCTCCAACATGCATTATGCCTGCTACGTACAACCGACTATTCAAACGGTCCTAATACCCTATTTCGGTATGTGTCCAACGCTACGTGTGCATTACAATGATGTGCGTGTGTGTATTCCATCATTGTCAAGCTGAATCCTACACTATATTCGGTATTCGTTTTGTGAACACGGCTGTTGTGAAGAGACGAAAATCATTGGCAAACGCTGCATGCCAATGCATCATTCATTGGGAGTCGCATCATTGGAGCGATATACTGTGAAGCATATTGGGTCTTTGTTGGCAGTCAATATAGAACTATCAAACTTTTGTCATTATGAATAACGAGGGGTTATAAGTACTGGTGGATGTCGTTAAGCATGTGGATTTTTTTTTCCGAGTTACCAACCTCAATAGAGTTGGCTGAAATGACTCCCTGGACAGTCGTAAGAAAATTAGGAAACTAGCCCATAAAACATCCCCCCCCCCCATTACACTGAAATGGTTGTGTCCAAATGTGACTCAAGTGTTACATGTCAAGCAAACTGTGGCATGACATCCGAGGTCTCAGTATGGAAAAACCGTACCGCAAGGGATTTCTTCCACTTCGCTACAAAGCCCTCGATGCATGTTTATCATTATACGTGATGCTAATTGATAAGCAATTAAATATGCGTCAATGATCACCACCAGCACCCGTATTGTCAAAAGCACTTCGTAATTAGCAAAAAGTATGCATTTTTTTCTTAGGGCTTTACAACATGAGTCATCGCTATTTAAATACAAAGCAACCTGCAACAACACCTGGACTGAACACCCCACTGTTACACTTTGACCCAAGGCCTATTCCAGCCAGACCCAACATGACATCATTGGAAAACATTAACATTCAATTTGACCTGTGAGCTATACAAAATACATATGTTATACTCTGTACATTCTGAAGATGAACATCAGTGTGGTTGTGAGAACCTTAAATAAACGAATGTGAATGAGCAGCACAAGTATGCCTGCGTGCTTATTGCTGTGTCTTTTGTGGTGTGTCTGTAACTGTCTTGAGAAATGTATCAACCATTGTATTTCTGAACAGGTTTCATTCTTGAAAAACCTCTTATTGAAGAAAAAAATACTCTACCAAAAAAGGTGTGGCTTGGGTGATATTTTTTTTAAAGCTTTTGGAACACATTCATATAAAGCGTCTCGTGAGTACAAAGCATGCCTTTTTCTGCAGCAAATGTTTTGTAATACAGGAGTCCAAACATTTAACATTTAAGATGCATTTACAGTGGTAGCTCATCACAATTAGCTGTTCACAACGACACAATCTGATTCCTGACCAAGTGGTGTCTCACAACACAACTTTTATGAATTCATCATTAGTAATGTTGATATGATTGGAATACGTATGTATTGTTTGCCAACTACCATTGTGGTCTGCTGCAACCACGTGTTCTGCAGGTCACTGCAGTTGCTTCAGGGTCATACGACAGGGAAACGTACATCCTGTCACCAAGTGCCAATTATATCCATCCAGGTGTTGAGCAACCTTAACTAAATTCAGGACAGGTCAACTTTTTGCTTCATTTCATATCGGAATATTTCCCCTGTCAACACATCAAATTACGGACGAAACCTCCAGCCACCGTGTGACTTCACATGCACAGCAGCACTTAAGCCAACACTGCACTTGCAATATCAGCAACGAGTCAAGACGTGAAACAAGCATTCAGTGAAATTAATGCTAAAGCTGCATTGGTAATAAATTATGTACAAGTGACTTGCCGCCATTTGACAGCAACAATAATACCATGTGTGCCGACAGTGAGACGCCGTCTCCCCCCCCCAAGCTTCCAGGTGGTGCAAACAGAATGTCTCTTATAGAGCTGTTCAGCCAGGGGAGGGGCTCTGCCAACTCGTGCTATATGCATGTATGTTGAACTTCTTTTGCACCGTACGTAGCCAACTTTGCTAATCGGAGGTGCGGGCGGGCGGGGGCAACAAACTAAACACAAAAAGCAGTTGTAAAGAAATTCGTTTTCAATCTACATTTAAAAGTGCACAGCTCCTGGTGGCTTCAGAATATCGGAAGGAAGAGCGTTCCAGACGGCCGCAGAAGGGCATCTGAAAGCGCGCGATGCAGTGGCCGTCTTTGTTCGATGGCCAGCCAACAGCCGCTGCCGAGAATGACCAGAGGTCACGTGATGGTGCTGTTGTGCTAAGGTACCCACTACCCATTATGCAATTGGAGACCACTAGGGTCGGGCATAAAAAATATCGATGCATCGATGTTTTCGTTCCAGCGAATCGATGTGTTTACATCAATGTTGATTCATGATGACGAAAAAAAATGTTTTACTGTTTTGTTTTTCACTTTGAAAGGCTGGTGTATATTTAAGCTATTAGATTAAAACAACGTGTCGTCATTGACAGTCCACTTCAGTCGTCATTGAGAGTACTATAGATAGGTTTAAAGTTGACATTCTGGAAAGTAGTTGTAAGTTAATTGTTGATTGAGTGTTGATCGTGCAACATCGGTCTTTTGAGTATACGTTTTGCTATTGTATTAATCATTCAGAATTGTATTCTATATTAAACATTGATTCTGAATATTTCAAAGAACTCTTTCCTGTAAATAATTAATTAAACCCTCCTTGAGCCGATGTTTGAGTGTACATCGATGTGTCTTCCCATGTCCCATCCATACATAACACCTGTCTATTTAAAACACACGGCTAGGATTCTGAGAACCCAGTGTCATTTCGGGTTTCTATGGCTTGTTACAGTAAAGTCATAGTTTCTCCCTGCACAAATAAGCAAGGCCCAGTGCTCATATCTGCCTTGGCAGTCATAAGCCAGTGCTGCCAATTCCATAATCCTAAAGTTTTACCTGAAGATCAATAATAATAATAATACAAGTTAGAAAAAGTAATCAAAACAAATCTCTCCACTTTTGCATAGGCAAGTTACTGTTTCCAAACTAACTAATATCACCGGAAGCACACAAACACATGCTTTTCAAATTGAAGGTGAATGGGTGGCTGTAAAAGTATGACAATGGAACCCATTACATTGCCTATTTTGTATGTAGCATTAAAACACAATGGAAAGCCAACACATTCATAATTTGCTGGATCACCGCACAATTGAAACTAAATCCTACTTGTGACAGGGTTTTGCTAAATATATGAATACACTAAGATTTACGTGCGCACACACATACAGTGTGGACTGCATATGTGTGTGCACGTATATCTTGCACGGTAAGGCATTTTCATTAAGCTGCTGGTCAAATGTATGAGGATAGATCAGTCGCCAATCTCACCATATGGTTTCCATCCTCCTGCTTAGTTTCGAGTTTATTCTGTAATACTATGCTATAATTCACATACTGGCAAAAGGGTTTTATTCTTTCATGCTGGTGATAAAGGTGTCCTTGTACTCAAACACAATGGGGTATATGACCAATATGTATTTCAGTTCTATGAAGCAAAAAAAACTGGCTCTGCTAATTATATATTTTTAAATGCCTAGAATTTCTGCATCTATCCTTCCTATTTTATTTTTAAAATGTTGATTAAAAAAATGTCCCAACAAGGAGGCAATCTGTGATGATGTGTTTCAGTGGTTTTGTCAATAAAGTGAATCTGTCCTCAAGGTTTCACCTACATTATAAAAAAAAAAATCATTAATTAATTTGCACACCTAAGAACACATATCTGCAGAAGCAAGCAAGACAAGGCAAATATCTTGTAGTTGCTCAGAGAGCATTGCTCATACAATTCCCCTGTCCTTAAGAATCTCACCTCTTCAGCAGTGAGTCGTTGCTGATTGGCTGGCGGACAGGAACTCTGCATCTGGAAATTGCAGGGAGCCATACGTTTTTCCTCATTGTACTGGCCTTGATGCTGGAGCGGATGACGCTGCTGGTCGTTGTTATACTGGTATGAGTTCACTTGTTGGTTCCTTGCGTTTCCCAACTGCGACGAGTCCGTGGAGTAGCCCAGGAAGTGTTGGGATTGGCCGGGAAATGACGATTGCTGTAAAGGATCTGCTACTCCAGTACTACACATTTGCTGTGGTGTACTGATCTCTCTGTGGCCGACAGTCCCATTAAAGTTTGCAGTATGTCCTCCAGCAAACTCCATTGGCTGCAGATGCATGTTTTGCGGGCGAGTCTTACAAGGCCAGTCACAGGTGCCTTGTGGTTGAGCACCAACCGATGATGTTTGCATACAGTTTTTGGATAAAATGTTGTCAAGAGCACTGTCACGCGTTGGTACAGCATCTAGTTGACTTTTCACTCCTGGGCTACTCATTTGCATTTGGCCATGAATTGTATTTAATGCACTCTGAACCGGAAGACTATTCAGTGGACTTTCAACCTGCACGGCACTGACTGGACTTTGGACAGTGACTCCACCCATTGAGTCCTGTGGCGGTACACCATTCACAAGATTTTGGGAAAGGACTCCATATTTAATTGTTTCATTGTAAGTTACGCTTTGTCCTGCAAACCTGTCTCTATAGCTCTGAGTTGCTACTACATTTTGCCCTTTACTTCCATTCATGACAAAGTGGCCTTGCATCGTGTTTGCAATATCTTGACTTTGTGCATGTCTGGTGCCCCAAGGCTGTCCTTTGAAGTCCTGAGGCTGCAAGTTTGATAGCTGACCAGGCATGTTACTTTTCCTGGTTGTGGCTTGCACTATACTTTGGCTCATTCCACTTTGAAACACAGTATTATGTGTTGCACATTGAAGTGGACCATTTTGAGCATTCTGGACAGAACTTACAAAGGGAGTGTTTTGCAAGCTGACATTCTGGACGGACATAGGTTGTGTTCCACTTGTACTTGTTGAACCCTGCATGGTGCATGGGACTTTAAACTTTTGTTCAATGCCATCAGCAGGCATTGCACAAAACTGTCCATACGGATGCATTTTCTGTGTTGGAATATGAGACTGCACCCCTCCGTTGAATGTCTGTGAAGGTTGCAAGAAGTTCTCAAATGTTTGCACGTTGGAATCATTGCTGCTTCCATGACGCATCTGTGGCTGTTGGACCCTCAGGTAGTTGTTTTTATTGAGTGACTCCTGGACCAAGGAAAGGATATCATCATTTGAAAGAATACTCTCAAGGTCCGGTGTACAATCCACATCCATCATCAGCTGTTTCTCCTCCTCCTCAAGTAACTCAATGTCATCTATGGTTAGGCCCAGTGTTTCCAGAATATCATTCAATTCGTCTGGCACTTGAAAGCCAGAATCCGATGAACTTGTCTCAGAGAGGCATTTCTCCACATCAGACTCAATCTTCACGTGGCTTACCAAGCTGCCCTTGCCTCCATTCCACCCAGAAGCCTGGCCGACGCTGTGTGAAGACCCTGCCAAAAAGCTAGGCATGCTTATACCCCCTGCCAAGTCCGTGGCAAAGCGACTCTCAGTGGCTGGTGGTCGCACATACACAGTCTGATCCTGCTGCATCATGGCACCGAGCAGGGAGCTGGGATCCACCTTCTTGTCCCACTCAGAATTCTTCCCGCTGCCCATCCTCCTGATTAACAGATGATTTTCATCTTTTGGAGGAAGGTTCCCCTGCATCTCCGGAGGCAGGAAGCCTGTTTCGTAGAGCATTGCTTCACCGGTCGTGAAGGCGAAAGGGAACTGCAGTGCCCTCTTGCGCAGATGCTCTTCTCCCTCCTCGTTGCTGCAGGAGCACAGATAAGCATCGTGTAAGCCTACAACTGTCTGCAGGTTCCACTAACAAGCAACATTTTCAACGGCATTCTTGTCTATGTGCCAGATTTAACAGTTGAAAATGTGGTCACTTTAAAGTAAAGGCTGCCGAGCATATAATGTTGCCCTTTCGATTTAAAGCTTTCGTGACTGCAAGTATTCATCTTCTTTGGTTCTTTCGGTAAAGTCACGTAGAATGAGCATAAAATAATAAATTGATAAAATAAAATAACACAAAACGTCGTGAGAATATTATTGTGTTATTTTATTTTATCAATTTATTATTTTATTCTCATTCTACGTGACTTTACCGAAAGAACCAAAGAAAACGTTGCCCTTTTCACCAAGATACAGTGGCAGTATTTCACCACAATTTTTTTCACACGTCATATCGCATGAGTGTTCAATTACCTGCTGTCCCCAGCCAAGTACAGTCACAAGTGCGATAATACACTAACTACATATGTGTATATCTCTGCGAGTGCTTCTTTGCAGAATCTCTGTTGCTCACATGGAGATACAGATAGAGATGTCTCTTTGGGTGTGTCATTGTATAACTGCATTTGTGGGGAATGGTAGTGCAACGGTTAGCGAGCTGCGCTACGAACCCGGTGACTCGAGCTTGATTACCGCTCATGGTCAACACCGGTGATGATTATCTGAACTGGTCCTGGGCCTCCCCTAGGTCCACTCAGTTTCAAATGAGTACCTGAGACAAAGGCAGCCGGACATGGTATGACCACCCACCCCCTCATGTGCCGTGGCGGCCTTCATAGGTGCTTGCTAACAGCACTTGCCCCAACAGTCTATTAAGGCTATACAGGGGGATCTTTGACTTTGTATCTGGGATTTTAACCCATTGATTTCAGTGCAGTAGGACCGCGTGTCTTGAAGGGGCAATATTTGGCAAGCCACCTGACTACCTCAGAGCAAAGGAACGTCCTCCAATATAATCCAACTAGGTCAAGGCATGGCCCACCTGAGTGGCCTTTGTGTTGCTATGATGTAATCCGGACGGCCGTTCTTGTAAACGAGGCGGGCATTGGCCTGTACCCAAGCCCAGCGGTTGCCCTTGGTGAGCAGCCGGAAGATGGTGATGCCACTCTCCCCAGTTTTCATCACTGCCAAACAGGGCAGAGCAGAAGACATCGCACTCGGCTCAATCCGATCACTCGCATTTTGACACATTTTATTTTTTACATGTAAAAATCCAGGACCCTGATGTCACGCTAATTCCGTAACACTATTATCAATAATCATGAGCGGAACATTATTTTCGATTGAATATTTCAGATGTACTGCGATACACCCATTCTTAAACGGGCTATAGGCTAGTTGAACTGGAAGCAAGACGACATATATGTTAACTGCTGTCTTGAAGAATTGGGAGTACAGTAAAGCCTTGGATTGCGAGTAACTTGGTCTGCGAGTGTTTTGCAAGACGAGCAAAAATATTTAAATAAATATAAATTTGATTAACGAGCGAGGGTCTTGCAATACGAGTAGTGTACGTATACGCTTAGTCTGCCGAGCGTCACGTGATCACAACTGATATACGAGTGCTTTGATATACGAGTGCTTTGATATACGAGTGCTTTGGATTACAAACACGTTTCCAGAACGAATTATGCTCGCAATCCAAAGATTTACTGTATTTCTTATTGGCATAATGTTTTTGAGCATTTAGCTGTCAATAGCAGTTGTGGAGTGAAGCTGTGTAATATATCCGTTCTATCTTTACCAATTCAACAGTGTATACAAGCAATGGTTTTTGGCAACAACACTTCCTCATAACAAAATATATGTGCCTCATGTTTCAGGCAATTATTACATTCCACCTTGCTTTTAATATAATCCTTCATATGTGCACTTTAATACTTTAAGAATTATGACATTTCAAACATGTAAATGATGCTCACACAAGTGATTATTGGCATGCTGACATATTACGAAATCAATACTATTGTAAAATTAATTATAAAAGCAGAAAGTGTTTTCAATTGGAGCACACCTAAAGGAAGATAATCATCATGACATCATCAGCTCCATGTCACTTATTTTGGCCACGGGATAAGTGAGGAGCACGTCGTCTGAAGCGCGAAGCCAATCACCATTCACTCTTGCACACAAGCCGTGCTAACCGCTAACTCACTTCGCACGTGATTGTCGGCACAATGCAGCATGTCGGCGGCATGGATGAACTGGTACCCGGTTCCACGCATGGCAAGCTCCAGCTCAGTGTAGCCAAGTACAATACGTCCCCTATAAACAAACACCACACGTCAGTCAATTAACTAGTGGAGCCATGACAGCGGTGAGCGCAGCGCGCTCAAATGTGAACACGGCGAGACTACAGATTGATGCCTGCCACTCCCAACAGTGACGTGGGGTTATCCGAGCCAGTTCTGGGCCCCCCTTTTTTACCAAATCGCGTTGACCAGCGTGGCGGAGCGCAGCCAAACAATCCCCATTTACTGACATGGTGTCGGCGAGGCCTTCATCCCAACAGCGGAACGACAAAAAGACCATAGGCACATGAAATAAATAAATAAATATATACATAAAGCTGCCCACCATCATGTCATAGAAACAGCCAAAACTACTCTGGATTAACACGGTATGCTCATTGTCTAATTTTTTTTATTAGATTTTCCATATAATGGGTTATGTTGTGTCAGTCTGACTCCTAATTTGATTTAAATAGAGGAACATTTAAAAACCACAGGCAATTAAATGAAGCAGGAGAAATTAGCAATAAGTAATGCTCTTAAGTAGCACATAACGACACGAATTGTATTTAACATCAACTTAACTGCAGACAAAAGCAATTACGCAGAAATATTACTGAGCCGCATTGAAAATCAAACCATAAGCTCCATGCAAATGGACTCCTAGTCAAACCTACCAACTATTGGGCTCTCTTAGTAGCCATATAATCATCCATTGAAGTATCTATTATAATCAGTTCACATGCTCAGAATGCATGCATTGAATCATGCTAGTTAGACATGATTACAATTCATACAAATCAAATGAAAATGACATGCTGATGTTTCGTTTGAGTCTAATTGAGCAAAACAAAAATTGGACAGACGAGTCAGAGGTAAACTAGACACAATACAAACAAGATGGCCAAAAATTTGACAGGAATAATTGATTTAACACGTAGGCTTTCGCGACCAATATTATTCATAAAAAGGTTTTTGGGTTAGATCGCGTTATTTATAAATGTGTCGTAATCCTCCACCATCCGACACGGCCAATCAGTTAAATAATGACGTCACCTTGCTGCTCTATTTAAAACCGGGAGCAAGCGAGGGCTTTACCATGCTGGCGAATTGCCCAATGATGCTGGATGTAATTACCAGCGAAACGTCGTACTCAAACTGTAAATGTTGTGGATTCACTCTTCAACACACCGGTGGGCTAAAGTAGTGAATTACTTGTCTTTTGTCAACGTGACACTTTTTTTTTGCTGATTGGCCATGTCGGGTGTTGGAGGGTTACGACACATTTATAAGTAACGCGATCTAACCCAAAAACCTTTATTATGAGGAATAATTGATTGTTGCATGGAATCACAACCCCGGAGTACGTGACGAACTGTCAAGTCGTCGTATGGATACGTGATTGTGTACCCAGTAGACAATGCTTACTTGGCATCGCAACCGATGGGCGTGAAGTCCAGCTTGTGTTTCGTGCGGAAGATAATGTTGCGGGTGCGGATCTCCAGGATAGAGGGCGACTGGAGAGGGGTGGCGACTGCAAACAGCGCCAACTGCGCGGGTTGAAGGGACCCATCCGCCGAACGCCGGTTCTGGCCATGCAAGAACTTGAGGCGTCCCTGCATCTGCAGAGCCTGGAGCGAACAGAGAGCAAACTTGCGTGTAAATGCTGGCACGAGGAGATAAAATGGGTGGATGAGAGCTCCACATTTTATTGTTGGTCATTGACACATGCTTTCGAAGTAGCTTGTTTTTTTGCATATTTGGTTTCAAGAAAGCCATATTGGCCCAACTAATACTGTGGTAAAGTGCTTGACTTACATTCAGACATTCATTAGTTCAAATCCCAAATTGGGAGTTGAATTGGTCTATTACCCCTGCAGGATTGGTAAATAAGTATCAATTTGTGGAGCAGTCAACAGTGGTTATACTCCACTGTAGGAATGTGGAATATCCACCATGTTTATATCGACACCAAATAGAGAATCCAATACTTGTTAAAGCATTGAGACCCTTCAACTTATGGATGGAAACAGAGTATCATTGTTGATAAAGGCAATGTGTGGTTATATTATGTTGTATATATAGTTCCTTGAAACCAAAGAATCATCCTTGAAACCAAAGAATCATGCTTTGTCACAATAGTTTATATACTCGTGAAAGACAAGGCGAAAAAGGTTTGGGAAAATTCTGGACGTATCGCCCTTATGGAGTCGAAGAAGCTAAGCAGGTTGGAGACTTGCTAGTACTCTTTGTATCTGCTGTGAAGAATGGCCATCGCCCAAAAGGTTGCCTATTAGACATTATTTATTTTAAGGCAAGACTATTGACAAAAGTGTTTAACGTCTTGTCATTTGTGCTTTTGCAACACTGTCAACACAGGATCGACAAATGATTTGTTTAGTGCTGACCACTGGGAGTTTGCCAGGTGTTGTAGGTAGGCATGGGGCTGCAAGGAGGCCATGAGATAGCAGTGCTCAGTGTCACCACCTCATAGTCGTGGGTTTTCTCAGGATAGTCTGGTTTTCTTACACATTCAAAATACTACCAAACACAACCAAAAACCAAGCTACACGCGCCAAACGCTACCAAAAATGTATTGTCTCGTTATTTTTGTGTTCAGTTTGTTGTCCTTCCCCCGCACCTGCAATTAGCGTGGTTGGCTCTGTACGATGCGAAAGAAGTTCAACATACATACAGACAAGACATTGTGGGTAAATAATATTAATTGAATAATTGTCAGTATGTGGAGAAATCATGAATTCCAGTGAAAGACAAGTTGCACACACACACGTGCACACAATTGGCATCAGATGCCTCTCAAAGAAATAAAAATGTGAGCTCACACGAGTTTGTTTTGGAAGCCACTCATGTGGGCACATGCCATCTCACCAGGAAGCCAGAGGAGTTGTCAAGCAGACAGCGGAAGCGGCAAATGAACTGGCGTTCGAGGAAGGAGGAGTTTTCAGGCGGTAGCTGCTGTGGGTTGTATACTGCCACTGATGATGTGCTGGCATCCTGGTCACCTGTACACCAAGCAGATAATAAATAACGATCATCTTGGGTGACGTTTTATACTGTCTCGTTATTGTCTCATCACCAAAGCACAATGGGAGGGAACAAGGTGTATAAGACTTCGAGCATCATGGCACAAGCTGACCCAATATATGCCATAGTTCCAAAAAAGTTGTTTTCCTGCTGAGCTCCAGAGAAGAATAATTAGATGTGGAATACAGGCACTGCAGGAAGCAAACCATTTATGGGACAGCTTAGACAAATCTAATCAACAAAAAACAGAGGCATGCCTACAAATTCAATCTGATCAATTAACCTATGACTAAACCATTCAAAAGCCTGCTCCCTTACTACAAATTACATTTAGGATTCAAAAGTAATGGTATCAAGCTCACATTGTGAGATGCGTGCGCAGCTTAAAAGCAGAACAAATGCAATATACAGCAAATCCAGAAACACTGCAATATGTGGCCCACATAAAGCTGCTATACGTATTCTCAGTGAGTTTATGTTCTGTTTTTAAGCTGTAATTCTAATGTGCAATTACATAAGAGGGCCACTAGAAAAATCCCAAGGATAGATGAGTGTTTTAAAAGGTGCCCTTTGTAAGCATACAGTGGATTGTAATTGTGACTTTCCATAAGCTTGGACAAATATTGTATCACGTATCAGTGCAATAAAATGCAAGCCGAAAGGAAATTAAATATAAACAAAAACAGGTGATTTAATCCGTTGCCCCATGCAATAAATCACAAGGAAAAGCGAAAAGCAATGTGGTTGTATTTGGATTGTATCCTCTCTATTCAGTGATTCATCAAATATAACAGCCCTAAAGTACTATGTACATAAGTCACAACTCTATGTGCATGGGTTACTATGTACATGGATTACATATTTGTACAATGGCAACTGGAGAGGTGCACACAGTAGAAACTACAACTTTTAATGGGCTGTGTTACAGCAAGCCTGGCATAACGTCCCTTCTCCTTCGGTATTTCCGTACAACATATGTGACTGCTCTGTGACACATGATGGTAAATCATAATTTTGTATTTAAGGAAACTGGTCATACTATCCAACCACAAATGTTATATCGTACCAAACCATATAATTAACTTACATTTCATACCCACTCAGAACTGTGGCTCGGTCACAACCAATATCCATGCTCTCATTGCTGAGTCATATTTACAATCAACTATGGACAAAACATTTGCTATGCCTTTAACCAAATATTCTGTAAATTACAAAGATGCCAATAGGCCACTATATTGCTTTATGTTTCATTAGCAGTATCCTTTATATACAGTGAGGGAAAAAATTATGTGATCCCCTGCTGATTTTGTACATTTGCCCACTGATGAAGAAATGATCAGTCTATAATTTTAATGGTAGGTTTATTTGAACAGTGAGAGATAGAATAACAACAAAAAAATCTAGAAAAACGCATGTAATTTTTTTATAAATTGATTTGCATTTTAATGAGGGAAATAAGTATTTTACCCCTCTGCAAAACATGACGTAGTACTTGGTGGCAAAACCCTTGTTGGCAATCACAGAGGTCAGACGTTTTTGTAGTTGGCCACCAGGTTTGCACACATCTCAGGAGGGATTTTGTCCCACTCCTCTTTGCAGACCTTCTCCAAGTCATTAAGGTTTCGAGGCTGACGTTTGGCAACTCGAACCTTCAGCTCCCTCCACAGATTTTCTATGGGATTAAGGTCTGGAGACTGGCTAGGCCACTCCAGGACCTTAATGTGCTTCTTCTTGAGCCACTCCTTTGTTGCCTTGGCCGTGTGTTTTGGGTCATTATCATGCTGGAATACCCATCCACGACCCATTTTCAATGCCCTGGCTGAGGGAAGGAGGTTCTCACCCAAGATTTGACGGTACATGGCCCCGTCCATCGTCTCTTTGATGAGGTGAAGTTGTCCCCTTAGCATAAAACACCCCCAAAGCATAATGTTTCCACCTCCATGTTTGACGGTGGGGTTGATGTTCTTGGGGTCATAGGCAGCATTCCTCCTCCTCCAAACACGGCGAGTTGAGTTGATGCCAAAGAGCTCTATTTTGATCTCATCTGACCACAACACTTTCACCCAGTTGTTCTCTGAATCATTCAGATGTTCATTGGCAAACTTCAGACGGGCATGTATATGTGCTTTCTTGAGCAGGGGGACCTTGCGGGCGCTGCAGGATTTCAGTCCTTCACAGCATAGTGTGTTACCAATTGTTTTCTTGGTGACTATGGTCCCAGCTGCCTTGAGATCATTGACCAGATCCTCCCGTGTAGTTCTGGGCTGATTCCTCACCGTTCTCATGATCATTGCAACTCCACGAGATGAGATCTTGCATGGCGCCCCAGGCCGAGGGAGATTGACAGTTATTTTGTGTTTCTTCCATTTGCGAATAATCGCACCAACTGTTGTCACCTTCTCACCAAGCTGCTTGGCAATGGTCTTGTAGCCCATTCCAGCCTTGTGTAGGTCTACAATCTTGTCCCTGACATCCTTGGAGAGCTCTTTGGTCTTGGCCATGGTGGAGAGTTTGGAATCTGATTGATTGATTGCTTCTGTGGACAGGTGTCTTTTATACAGGTAACAAGCTAAGATTAGGAGCACTCCCTTAAAAGAGTGTGCTCCTAATCTCAGCTCGTTACCTGTATAAAAGACACCTGGGGGCCAGAAATCTTTCTGATTGAGAGGGGGTCAAATACTTATTTCCCTCATTAAAATGCAAATCAATATATAACATTTTTGACATGCGTTTTTCTGGATTTTTGTGTTGTTATTCTGTCTCTCACTGTTCAAATAAACCTACCATTAAAATTATAGACTGATCATTTCTTTGTCAGTGGGCAAACGTACAAAATCAGCAGGGGATCAAATACTTTTTTTCCCTCACTGTAAGATATTGAGAGTAAAACATGTTTTATCAACCCAACAAAGTCATATCATACATTGCATCCATCCAGTTATACGAAGCCCTGGTCAATGTGGATACGAGCCAGATGCACCAAACTGAGCAGCCCTTGAGCCAAAGAAGGATTCACCAAATACAATTTCACAAAATACATAGACCAGTTTTGGGTTTGGGATGAAATGTGTGCACAAAAATATCCGAGTATATTCACACAAACAGTCACAAGGCCGCTGCTCAATTTGAAGTGCAACTGTCCTGCTTCCGCTTTCAAACAAAGGCATTTGTTTATTGCAATTCTGTAGCTGCCATGTATACCTGAACCGTCTTTGTGTGCCTCTCTGGCTGCCGGTGGTGGCTTGAGAGCCCAGTGGAGTTGTCGAAGGAACTCGTATCTATCTTCAGAGTGGACCAGTTCGTACACACTTTGATGGACCACGTCGCACTGCACACCAATGACAAAACATAATGAGAAAAGCAACCCCCATGCAGTACATCCTGCCTTTTGCATGCAACCTGCTAATATTAATAGCTGACGTCTTGTATGGTTGGCACATGCCTATGATTCAATGCTATGGGTGCAAGGTTGGCAGGCAGATCACACAGAATGTCACCACAGCAAGTGGGTAGCTCAATTAACTTTAAAGATTGTTTGAGTGTTATCCCCTGATGTATGTATATTGAAGCTTTTTCACACCGTGCCAATCGTAGTTGCGGGAGAAGGACAATAACATAAACACAAAAAGCAGTTCTGAAGAAAGGAGTTCTAAAAAAATATCAGCAGTTCTGATAAAGGCGGACTTTCTCTGGGCACTTTGGTTTCCCCCCGTATGTGAATAAATACTTAATAAGACAATGGCCAAACATCCAAAGAGGGCATTCCTTACAACATGGCAAGTGAGGCTTCAAATACATTTACAATGTTAAAATAACTTTTCCTCTGGCCAAATTGTTAGCAGGTGATCTCGAAGGCTGGGTGCCTGCTACAAATGTCATAAAACACTTTCAACTAGGGATTTTGGAGACTACACAAATCCAACCTCATCATGCGTTATATTGGTGAGCATGCATTGTGGTAAAAGAAGTGTGTTTCTTCCATCACGGCCCCCATTAAGAGGTCAAATTACAGGTTTCAAACTGCAGTATTCTTAAAGGTTTACATCTACGAAACAGTGCACACGGCAAAGAACCCATAAATCTCGGCCTCAACGAATGGTGACCATGGCTATCAAGTTCAGCGTTCGCCATATGTGTGTGGCAGCTGTGTGTGCGGAAAGTAACATCATAGGAGTACCTGGGTGGCCAGACGTTTTGGTGCGAAAACATACGTAGCAGCATGTGCCTGTAAGAGATTGTGGCCTGCAACCCAAATACTTTCTACAATGAGAGACTAAAACTTGATTTGGCGCTTTCGTGACTGCAGGAATTATTCTTTGGTTCTTTCGGTAAAGTCACGTAGAAATAGAAAATAATAAATTACGTAATAACATACGACGTTTCGATTGCAAAGCAAGCAATCATCATCATCAGGTACAAATGAAAGAGAAACACACCTAGTAAACTTAGAAATATAATGCAACACAGCGCAGAAGGTCGGCTGACGCAACAGTCAACACCCTACCTGGTTGATTTCGTCCAAGAGAGAGACAAGACACAGAGCCGGAGACACATACACAGACACATAAGCGGAAAGAGTTAACACAGAGACACAGAGAGAGAGACACATGTATGGGCACACAGAGAAACAACGTCTCTGTGTCGAGGCCTTAAATAGCTAGAGAGGGGGTACAGAGAGAGGGGGGGGGGTTATAAGAATTAGCATAGTTTGTTTCTCTTTCATTTTTGCCTGATGATGATTGCTTGCTTTGCAATCGAAACGTCGTATGATATTATGTAATGTATTATTTTCTATTTCTATGTGACTTTACCGAAAGAACCAAAGAATAATGAGAGACTAGTTTACATCATTGTAGCATAGATATTTGACGAAGTAATACCTTAAGACATATAACCATCTGCAGGGAAATTACCTTTATACAGCATTAACCCCCCCCCCCCCCCCCCCGGTTTACGTCCGGGATGTGTCCCTGAGCGGTGTGACGACGAAAATCCCAAACAACGTCAATCGAAGGCATTTACAGAGGAGTAGGTGGAGACGAAGGTTGAGAAGCGACGGATGCGAGGAAGGATGGACGATGCTGTCAGCAAAGCTAAGTGTGTGTTGGGGCGATGCAAATCAGGTAGCGGCATTAATAGTAAAGTGGTGATGTATTTGCAAAACGATCTAAAAGTGGGAGGCTTAAAATCGGATATTACTGTATTTGCTTGTACACATGGGAAAAATGCAACAATGTTTATGCAATATTTTCTACATGTATATCATATTATTTAATCATTGTGAATATGTACATAAGCAGTCATGTTTGCAGAATCATCAGGTAAGAATGAATTCTGGCGAATTGCCCGATGATGCTGGATGTATTTACCAGCGAAACGTCGTACTCAAACTGTAAATGTGGATTCACTCTTCAACACACCGGTGGGCTAAAGTAGTGAATTATTTGTCTTTTGTCAACGTGACACTTTTTTTGCTGATTGGCCGTGTCGGGTGGTGGAGGGTTACGACACATTTATAAATAAACGCGATCTAACCCAAAAACCTTTATTATGAAGAATGAATGCAATCGAAACGTCCTATTCATTTTTTTTTTTTTCTACGTGACTTTACCGAAAGAACCACAGAGTTATGCCTGCAGTCACGAAAGCTTCGAATATAGTTTCTAAACATACAAATGAAATTAATTATTTATAGTGAAACTGTTTTTTATATATTCCAGAAATATATTTACATATAAACTGCGGTGGAGCAATGGTGTACTGGTCAGCGCATTGCAATATGAAATTTGCGATGAGAGTCGAATTCCCGAGCGTGGCTATCATCGGTGGTGAGATCTCAATCGGCCCTGGGCATCCCTTCACCAGCGTGGTGACATATGGTGAAACGACCCCCATGATCAACACGCCATGAGGAGGGCCTCATTAATAAAAATTTACATTTAAAAGTGCCAACTCCTCCCCCCCTTCCCCTCCTTTACCCAATTATGTTAGTTTTCTTTCCCCATCCTTCCCTCCCCATAAAAGCTTTCGTGTTCTGGCTCGCGGTCCCCACCTGGGTGGGACAGAGAGCTCGAATTCCCCCCCCTTCGTTAAACCTCTGGTGCGCCCGGATCTCGGGTTTTTACTGGCGGAGTTTCCATCCCCCAAAACTCTGCCCCCCCCCCCCCCCTCTCCACCTGTGCTGTAACTGGTTGCTTTGTACTGGACGTCGTGTTGAGTCGCAATAATAAAACACACACAAAAGAGTGCCAGCTCCTAAAGGATTGTGCTTATGTTATATTTGCCAGGACATCGGCAAAATCGTTTAGAAAGGGGCAAGTGGTGAGGGACGTGCAGGGGTGTCTTGCATGGGACCCATTTCAGTTGAACCACAGAGATTGTGCTGACGTTTCACGTTGAGGGTTGAACTCAAATCCAGAACCCATGCAGAAAATGCGACTCATACGGGCCCACTCGCCGAATCCAACATGCTGACATTCTTCACAAACACAGTGACAACCGTGATTTGAGCCCTTCGTAAAACCACAAAGGCTCTACTACATTTGAAAAAACAAAGCCATTCTTTTACAATAAACTTCAAAGGATCTACGGAAACATTTCCATACTATCAGTTAAAAATATCTGTTTTCATTACGTAAAAAAATAAACCCTGTTTATAAAATGGCTTATCTAAACAGGAGTGAGGTGTTTACATATTGAGGGAACAAGATCGTGCATTCCTGGCTATTACATCAAACAGCCATGGGGTGACTATGGCCATTTAGTTGAGTGCAGGTTAGAGCGGGCGGTGTGTGAATTGTGATCTTTTGGCAAGGGCAACCTGATGGAAGCCCAGATACTCCTGGATGGTGTGGGAGACGTAAAAGACCAGTCCCTCAGCCGTCACCACCAACACAAAGCCATTGAGAGCCTGGGGGGGGTGGGGGGGGGAACAAAGCATCTCCTTATTAATGTTTTCATGTGCCTTCTGCCATGTTTTACACATGGATACACAACATTTTAAGAGGCCCTTTAAAGCTTTTATAGACTGTATGGGAAAGTGCTGCTTGTCCACACTTACTGAGTATGTCATGGACATGACCAATGCTGCAACTGACTGTCTGTTTTCCCTCAATTATGATGTTCACATAAGGTTCTAGACACTCATTTGAACCTGAGTCAACTTAGAGGACGCCCAAGAAAGATTCAGTACTCTGTGTTATTATTCCTGTTACCTGTGTTTGAAGCCCAGCCATAAAGTTCAGTGGCACTTGGTACCCAAGCCTGTTGAAAGCCTGGCCCAGAATATGTAAATAACAGCATCTAATTGCACCTGAGCCAATTATATTATGAACACATGCATTGATTAAAAAAATCTCCCAAAAAAAACATGTTTTGTAAGGCATTATGGCATTCAGCCAAATCAAGCTGTCAACAACCCCTTTATTAAAGAGCTCTATCTACCGATGGCTGCCGCCACCTTTGAGGTCCAGTCCGTGTCCCTCACTACTAACTCCGAGTGCTTTTCCATCATTTCCATCTATCGCCCTCCAGATGGCAGCATCTCTACCTTCTTAAACGAGCTTTTGGAATTCCTTTACCTCATTCCTAACCCATCTCACAGGCTCGTGCTTACAGGAGACTTTAATTGCCCCGGCAATACCCCAGCCTCCATTGACAGTCACCTTGAGTCAACCTTGGCCTGCCATAACCTGGTCATCACAAACTCAGGCCCCACCAAAGCTTCCTCAACAAATGTTGAGAGCATGCTCGACCTGGTTCTGGGACCTGACCAGCATCGACGCATCACTGCACTGGGAGTTTTCCAAACTGGTTACTCCGACCACCGCCTCATACTTTTTTCCCTTCAAATTCCCAAGCCAATCACCATCAAATTGACCCCCCACTCCCCAAATTTCAAGGGTATCGAGTTTTCTGCTTTACACCACCTCGTCGCAAATTCGCCTTCAATGTTATCCCCATCATCGGATCCAACCGTCTGCGCTCTCCAACTAGAAGCTGACATGAGGGCGGCGCTGGACAAACTGGCTCCATTAAAATCACGAACCGCTAGGCAGCCTTCCCACGACACTCACTGGCTCTCAAGAGACGCCACCATTGCTAAGCGAACCAGGAGGCGCCTTGAAATTATCGCATCCCGCAGTGGTCTACCTGCTGATCGACTTGCCTACACAGTTGCCTGCAGGAAAACTAACAAACTTATCCTTACTCTTTGGTTTTTTCGGTCAAGTCACGTAGGTAAAATAAAATTTAAAATAAAAGAAAACAACTAAATTCAATCACGACGTTTCGGAGGCAACGCAAGCTTCCGTCTTCAGGTGGAACAGTCACAGCAAGATAGCTGCATCAAGATAGCTGCATCACTTTCTATCTAATTGAATCACTTCAATCAAAGTCATCTCCACTCGACGTGCTCCCAGGTTCCTTGTTCAAGCAATGTGCTCTGGAACTCGCCATCATGATCATTCTCTACAGGGTGTTTTCCGTCCAACCTAATATCTGGCCTGGTTTCTCCCTTGTTAAAGAAACCAAGTCTCGACCCGGATGACCCATCTAGTTATCGTCCCATCACTAATCTCTCGAACCTCTCTAAACTCCTTGAACGACTAGCCCTCACCCAGCTAAAACCCCACATCACCTCCTCCCCAAACTACTGATGCTTCCAGTCAGCCTACCGTCAAAACTACTCGACAGATACAGCACTCACCAGAGTGCTCGATGACATTTTAACGATTATTGATTCCGGCTCCATTGTTGCACTTGTAAGTCTGGAGATTTCGTCTGCCTTCGACACCGTCAACCACTCGCTCCTTACTTCCCTCCTGAAATCCGACTTTGGTATATGTGGCTCAGCACTCAAGTGGATAGTTTTGTACCTTTCCGACCGGCTATCTTCAGTCAGGGTGGGCACATCCACATCGCCTGAAACAAAAGCATCATGCGGGGTTCGCCAGGGCTCCGCGCTAGGTCCCCTGCTCTTCACAGCCTGCACTTCCCCGATCGGCCGGCTCATCGCAAGCTTCAGTGTTAAGCACCACTCATACGCGGATGACACTATTCTATTCGCCGCCATCGATTCTAGCAATGCATCTGGATTCGAGAGGCTCTCGGAATGTACCACCGCCTTGGAACAGTGGTTCACTGCACACAACCCAGCCCTTAATCCGAATAAGTCAGTGGCCATTATGTTAGGTAACAAGCAACGTCTCAACTCATCAGTACTCCCAACACACATACACATCTTTGGTCACAGGTTCAGGTTCACCGATCACTTCAGCTACCTTGGTGTCATCCTAGATTCAACTTTATCCTTCAACCATAAAACCAATCATATAATCAGTTAATGGAACTTTCACCTGAAGGCTCTCAGACACCTACGTCCTCTCATCTCCACTGAAATTGCCAACACATTGGCACGTTGCATAGTTGGGTCTCGCCTTGACTATCGCAACTCTGTCCTAGCCCGAACCTCCACTGGCAACCTAAAAAAAACTTCAAAGACTACAAAACAACCTGGCACGCGTCGTCATTGGCCGCACTCATCCCCGTCTCGACTCACTTACCTCTCTCTCCGTGCCCTCCACTGGCTACCCATTGCCAGCAGGGTCATATACAAGATCGCCTGCCTCTGCCACCATGCCTTCACATCTGCCTGCCCACCGTACCTTTCTTCATTACTGACGACTTGCAGCTCAGCACACGGCAGATGCCTTCGCAGTGCGACTCACGACCTCCTCTTGACACCAAGATCCAGGATGGTCACGTCTATGCGCCGCTTGTCGGTGGCAGCCCCAAACAGTCTTGAACGCTATCCCTCTGCACATTCGCAGCATCACCTCAATCGCCTCCTTCAAGAGACACTTAAAGACTCACCTCTACAACCACGCTTTCGAGCGACTCTGAGCTTGGCTCCGCGCCTCTGAGTTGCGGCCGTTACGTCCGCAAATTTGGGCGCGTTATGAATTGCATTATTATTATCAATCTATGATTTGCAAGCCAAATATTTACGTATGACATAAATCCCACGACAAAACCCCGAGGACTTCTCCAATCGGTGGTTGTGCCGACCATTGGGAAGTTTAGAAAACATTATTACGCATTAACTTTCTCAAAAATATATTATGTATTATTTAGTACTGTTTTTCTATCACTGCATCCACCTAAATGTAATCAACAAAAGCCGAGAGGTATCCACAGTCTAGGGACAGAGAGACGGAAAAATATTTCCTTCCTAACACCTCTTGAGTCCTATCTATGAATATCTTGGTACCCTGAGCGGCACAATGTCCATTATCACGTTACCAGAAAGCATGCAGCAGCATTAGACCCAAGCGTCCTACAATCCAACCCATATACACAACTTTAAATGGGCTGCTATTAGGAAACTTTATATTGCTGATAAGGCTGTATTAAGGAAAACACCGTTCCAAGATTTACAGATAATTTAAGCCCAAAAACACGCTTCCAGTTCCTATGAAAGTATTCACATGATTGTTCTTTTTAGAACATATCACAGCTAGTTAAAGTTCACAGAAATTGACCCCTGTATGGCATAGGGACAAACTACCTGAGGCTCTCGCATAGGATACAAAAACTGAACCAAGGCATACTGTTAACTTATGGGCATAATATAAATGCAAGTTTTACAAACATCAATAATTCATCTGTTTACTTGCTGATTGCAAAACAGTAGTGTCCGCCAAGAATTATATAATTAACCAAGAAATAATAAATTGTGGCAAAGCAAAACGATTGCACATTTATGCGGTTGTGTCAATGTATAAATAAATATACCGTAAATGCACCCTCGCATGCACAAGCCATTGATTATTATTTAAAAGAAACGCCCTTTGTTTTATGAAGCACCTAATATTTCCAGCACAGAGGCAGCATATAACAGTGGGATCCGCTTCGTTTTGTTCCATTTGTACTGCAAGACCACTCACCCATTCTGTAAATACTGGGCAGATAAACGAGTGTCTCAAAGGGAGGAACATACCAAGGACTCATGTGTGTGTCTGCAGGAAACTCATGGTTCTTTTAACACTCACCTACATATCAGATCACTGATAACACCGAGGCAAAGGTCAAGTAAAGCTCACACGACACACCGCATAAAATCTCTCATGCCTTTTCACTTTGGGGCAACTTTTTGTACACTGAGCACAGTTAACAAGAACACTTTTGTCGTTCGGATAAAATGGTCAATAATGGGGAATAGCATGTTCAACAAAACCTCAGCATTTCAGTCTTCGGAGATATGAAATCTATGTATGTATATATGTTGAACTTCTTTCGCACCATATGTAGCCAACCATGCTAATCGGAAGTGCATAAGAAATATTGCAAGTGAATGTAAGAGGTATAATTAACTAAAATGCAATAATTTGCCCTCTAACGGAAAAATGCATTACTTAAATGAAACAAAAACTTAAAGGCAGATTCAATAATGCACGCGTTAAATTAAATACAAATTTATTTAGTTAGCTCTCTGATGTGTTGTCTGGTTGTGCTGCGGGATTTTCGGCACCATGTGCTGGGAGATTGTTCTTGGATTTGGTTTCGAAAGCTCCGAGAAAAAACGTCGGAACACCAACCATGAGAAAGCCGTGCCACGGCATTAAAGCAGATGCACAGTACTCACATTGTGTTGTTGAGGGAATATGTGTATTCACTAGCCTTTGTGTGCATAGTCCCCAGTTAAAGATAATCACGGATAACAGGATGGTTTTGGCGATGCTGCCAGGTGACTTCTTATCCATGCGAAGGCTTGTATAATAGGGAGAATTTAACACACACACACATGAAATAGGAAGGTGTGCAGATCGTGTATGGTATGGCTAATATGGTCTAGGATAACAGTAGTTTCATGGTACTCTGTTAAAACATTGATACAGCAATGATTAGATA